GGCCTCTCTGGTGACACTCGAGAATCTCAGTTTTCCTTCCTTCCTCAAGATCAGCCTAAATGGGGGCGGCGTAACGCACTCAGGATCTTGTACAACAAAAATGCATCCGGAGTTGCAGATAGATCTAGGCAATAAGCAAGCCTGGGAAATCACATCTCCTAAGCGTGCAAACAGTGTGGATGGCTCACCACTTCAGCATTTCCTTGGTAGCCAGAAAAATGAGTGGATATCGCTAGGGGGACTCTGGTCCTGGACCAAGATCATATCATTTTCAATCTCCTGTTAAGTTACATGAATGGAAAATCATATTTGCTACTCTCTGGACCAGTCTGATGTATATCATGACTATGCATTACAGTTCCCTCGATGCGTCGCACTTCCTGTTACTTTCACACTTGCTGGTTGAACGGTACAGGAATTAGCCATTAACCGACCAGCATGTCGTGTCATTCAGCCAATGACGTCCCACCGAGTATCACGCACGTACGCATGATACTATTCACTTTTCGGGCATTCCTTGAGAGGACCGCACAGGACTATCATTTGATGTGACGGTGTGCATGCCCTAACCCATCATAACAGGGAAAAAAATAAGGTGTTGGATAAGCTGACTTAGCCAGTTACAACTCAGATCTCTGTGAGGCAAAATAGTTTAGCATTTTGCGGAAGACTGTTTGCAATGTTGTTCCCAATCAAACCGTGATGCAACCAAGCAGAGATTACACTTGGAAGTCAAAAAACGAAATTTGACAGTTCAAGCACAAAGATGGTCACAACAATTACGACCGGCATTTATCAAGTCTCTTTATGTGGGTGGCTCAAGTGTTGCATTGTAATTTCGACAATCATGTTGTAGCCTCATGCTTCATCAAGCTTAATCACAGAAGTCATGACCTATTTATGACTGCACTGGTGTCAACCCTGGGCCGCCATACGGCGAGTATCGATCGGGTTTCTATTGTTATCGGTAACAACAAAGAAAAGACGTGAGTTCGAAACCGATCTGAATGACCGGTTGTCTCCAAATGGTGTGTTAATGACTGTAGATCAAATATTGTTTAATCGATGCATGCCAAATTTGCGGGCAATACCGATTAAATCAAGTTGTAAAAATTCATGCAGAAAGGTGACTTTGGCTTTCATCTGAACGTCTGGTGGTACAATCTGTTGCACTATACTCCTTCCGAGTGGAATAATCGTAACTGATCCATGTATACCCATACCGATGATGATATTTTGAATACTGATGATCGACCTGGTGTTATAAACAGCTGGAAGAAAGGACCAATAATGGATTTGTGAATGAAGTGGTCCAAACAAAAGATGAAGTTACCGTTTTGCGGGAGTATCATTTGAGAAAATCTATAATCGCTATTTACTGACGAACTTCCAAATAATAATTTCCCAGTGAATCGACTCTTTATGCTTAACGCTACTTGTGATAGCAAAGTTGCAACAGTCTCCAAAATAAAATTGGTATGGCTACTTCCCAGCTGTTCCACAATGTCAAAACCCATGGCCTACTGGATTATACGATTGAAGTATTGTTAACAGAAGGCAAGCATAAGACGAAGAAGGGTTTTTAATTCTGCTAAAAATGAATCTTCGTACCTTACACAGTTATTCTGCAAAATTGAGGTCTGTCCAACTGGAGTTCAACACTAAGCATTTTTATACACTGGTCGTAAGACCAGTCAAATTCCGTTTGTTTGAATGAATTTGATTCGACCGATAAGTCCCTTTGTACCAACGTGCCTGTGCGAATGAGTGAACGATAATCGCGAATGACCCCGTTGTTGGGTGGGAATGTCGATTGAGATATTGAATCCCCAATCGATCGATAGGTCCTATCGATAAACGGCACATACTGTGTACCGCAAACGACTGGACTAAGATGATCCAGTTTCGGCCGTCGAAGCCGACAATGGGTTGTCTTTGTTCACCGTCGTCATCATCATCCGAGTTTAACTCCCCAGCGAAAGCATGGAACCTCTCTATCAGCTGTTTCATTCATCTGAATCATTACCAGCATGTAGGTCGTGAACTCCGATCGACTCATTATGAGCTTACCGCCCGGAAAATACCCCGAACGAACAAGGTTCACAGAGATGCCATCAACCTGTGGCTAACTGTTGTGATCTCCGAAAACTGCATACGACCTACGCAACGAAGAAAAACAGTAGGCCCTGTGCGTATTTTGTCGCTTTTGTTCGAAAGCATGTGACATTAGATTGAAAAAGAAACTCACTGTTAAGAAAAGCAGTATTATTTTGCACTAAGAATAGATAATTTCGGGATAGATGAAAACCTCGAAATGGACAAGAATAAAATGCTACGGACTGTAAACTGTTGCATTGTTGATTTGATATAACTATAAAAGATTCCCCTAATGAACAAACTCAACAAGTAAGATATGTAAGCGCAATGGAGGATCTGATTCAATTTCAAAGGGGAAATTTGTCGTTTAAAAAGCAAATGAAGCTTAAAATGAAAAGCTAGGAAGCTGTTTCGACCTGGTGGGGTTTCATCAGTAGTGCGAATCCATCGATCCAACTGGGGGTCGCGAACCCAGAACCTTACAGGCAGAATGCAAGCATGCTACCCACTCGGCCACCCCGGGGTAGCTGATCAGACCGTTTTTCATTTTCCGTTTACACGATTTAGCACAACCCATCTTTGCGAGCTTGTTGCATTGCGTCTCTCTCATCCGAGCACGGTTTGAAACTTTCACAACCTGATCACTTTTAAGATAGTTTTGTTTGTGCCCGTTTAGCTTACTTCAAATTTCCCCAGAAATGTTCCATTCTGCTTAAAAGTCGATATAATTGGCGAAAATATTGTGTGCTTTTTCGCTGAATTTACTCCTTGTTTCGAATTCCCATGGTGTGACAGCAGAACATTAACTATATAGTGCAGATTACCAAAACCGTAACACGAGCATGCACAGATATACGCGAATTCGTTGAGAATGCCTTGTGCGAATCTGTATTTCCTAATTTTAGTCATATCATATCAAGTCAGTAGTATCTTTACACGATTTTCGACATTTTACACTATATTTGTGAATGCACATTTACAAAATCTTACGAAGTGAAACTAGAAATAATAAATGACTTCTCGGTCGGTGAGGCAAACAAGAATTTATGTAATTCTGCGAAAGCTTTGTTCCTGTCAACACGTAGTGAGATGTGGCAAAACAGAATTACGATACGTAGACGTACAGGCAAAGAACAATTTGAACATTGAGCGTGTGGATGATGCCGCAACGGTTTTTGAAAGTTCGTTTTCTAATGGGTGATGAGTACCTGACATCATATTGGTACTAAAAATTTCACATGCTTGCAGGTATCTGTCTGTAATAGAGTCTGCGAGTTATTCTCCTGCGACTCTACTGCATTTAGAGGTATGTTTTAGAGATTTCTCCATCAAATAAAAGTCTCTTTTCAACATCCCGGGACAAATCACAGGGGAGCAATACAACCAGTGGGGTAGCACGCATGCACTCACAAACCTAACAAACAACTGGTGGGTAACGGAAAGTATGCTTAATGGAAGTGAAAAATATGAAAGATTTCTAAGTTAACAGAATGTGTCCGGAAGGTGCGTAGTACATTGTGCAATATTTTGACCATTTTACCATTGTCCATGTGTCGGCAGCGGTTGATAATTGGTAGAAAGGGTAGGATTCCCATTAGTGAGGGCTGAATATGGTTCGTTGGCCAACAGAGGAAACACAAAATCCTGGCATTTTGAGGCATTCCATGAGAGGGAACGGAACAAGGACCACCAGTTTAGGCGTGAGTGGTATCCTGCAACGATATCGTATCGAATGGGGAATATTATGCCTCAAAAGGTATGCTTTCAGGACTAATGCACCCGACAAACGGAGATTTCTACTGAAATTCATTCTTCAGTCAATCCTAGGACTAGCTTGCAATCCGGCGGACCAAAGAAGAAACTAACATTCGTACTTGTAACAGCAAAATAGTAGTCGTAGTAGTAGTAGGAGTCACAATTGTGGAACCGTAGCGAAATAAGCCCTAGTGTCTAGGTGCCTACCGTGTCGACGTGTACCCGTCCCTGACATACTGTTGGGAAATAACGACCACCTAAAGCCCAGATCCGGAACTACTATGAAGAAGTCTGCTAACGCTCCATATAACACGAAAGGTCTGCACGCGTTGTGGCAGCAGAGATGTCTGCACAGACTTTGATATGTTTTCAAAAGACTGTCAATAGAATTTAGCTGGTAACACTCGCTAACATTTTACTCTAAACACCTCAACTCTCTCCTTTTATTCCATTGGACTTTTGGCCTTGCACCTATACCGTTGCTACCACTGACCACTACTAACATTCTCACACTCGTTTACTCTACTTACTAGTCTCGATATCACGAACGCTTAGTTGCCACACCGTCTTTGGATGTAATCTAGTAATGAAGAAGAAAAGTCTTGTCTCAACGCCCTATGCAATGTGGTTATTTTTTTGCGGTAGCTAGTGAAATACCCGACTCGCCACTGTCCCGGGTAGACATGGAACCTCTAAGTCTAAGAACAGAGGACAGTATCTATAGAACCGAGATATCCGCAGAATTGAAATCTGCACTAATTGAGCGTTGCAGTGAGCAAAACCATTCACTTGGCTGCCTAATCCTCAGTTAACATTTAGACTCGTAAACAGTGCGTAAGTGAGCAAGCATTGTGCCAGAGGGGTTGTTTGTAAGGAAACCATATTCCTTTCACCATTCGATTTTACGGGCTTCAATCAGTGCCTGTTTGTGTGACATAGAATATAAGAACACCGTTCGCATTCTATTTTTATTTCAATCGATTGAAATGTGCCCAGATTCGGTATTAGCACTGGATTAATTGTCAATTACGTGATGAGCATCATCGTAATAATAATGATAGAATCCTTTAAAAATCTAGAAAACCGTTTCACTGCAGTTTTGTCGCTCCCCCCTCCACCTGCTGAAAAATAAGCACAAAACGACTTACTGATTCAACAAGCAGTCGCAAATGTCCACGTGTCGACATGCGGCCGCGGTGTGCAACGGAGTCCATTGATCCGCATCTCGACCGTTCACATCCGCACCGTACCGCATGAGCAACTCACACATTTGCCGGTTGTTATTCACGCATGCCTGTGTGGAGAACAGAGACAGAGAGCAGAAACGGTCAACGACGATGTTAGATTTAGTATGGAGCTAACAGTACAGGTAAACAGCGGGGTTGATTCAGCGAACCTATTCACTGACTTATGCTATAATTGATCGAATCGCGGTGATCTGATGGCATGTCACACCAATAAACTAATGATCCGAATGACTCAGATTGAAAACTGATTGTTGGGCAAGCACGATAGGCTCCATCGGCACAGCTAACTTGCTCGCTCTGTTTCACTTTAGTCGAACTAAGCAATTACCGGCCATTGGTAGTGCAATTTGTAGCAGACATCTAATCTAAGTCTGCTAAACCTGGCTGATTTATTAAACAACAACGCCTGGCAGTCAGAACCGTGGTATTTCAGTGTTTTCGCACCTCAGCGAAACTGTTCAGTTCATAATCATTTTTGTTTCCTTGGTTGTGCAGATCTGTCGCGACCCACGGAGAATCCCTGTGTGCTAGTGGTTTCTCGCTATCCGCCCTTCCCATCACCCATCTCGTCGCTGCCCCACCGTTCCGTCGTCCGTCACCCGGATCATCTGAATTCGTAGAGAATACGAGAATACGGGAGACACACCGTCGAGTATTCGTCGGGACAGCTCGCGAACACAACGGTTACAACAAAAAGCGCTCATTAAGTGCTATGTTTCACTGAGGTGGTCGGTCTCATTTAACTGTACACAAAGTTCAACAATCACAACAGATTTGCCCATAGTGTGCAATTAAAGGAAATGATCAGTCTATTGGTTCTGATTACCGGCTTATAAAGCCATGATATTTTACCAATTCATAAATGAGAGTTTGTTTCACTTCTAACTTGTACTAAGAACTTAGGAGCGCATTTATGGCGAAACTGCGACATAGTTCAATCATGTGAAATGCCCATTTATTGACGAACATTTATGATAACTATGGGTAAATCTACAACCCCAGTGACTGATTCTGAGCAGGCTTTGATTACTTGTAGGGATCCTCAAATCCAACATAATACCTTTTTTACCCTACTTCACACTTGTCAGTGTGCAAGCTGAATTCCTAAGATAGAGTACAATATTCTTCCCAAGTTTCAAGTTAACCTGTAGAGTGACACAGACCAGCTTTCTTTTGGGTAAATGTTGGCAACTGACCAGATAACACAATATGGATGAGAAAACGCTTTCTTAAGAAAACCATTTTACAGTTCTTTACAGATGACCACAGATATGTTCACACATGTACTTTGCTTGCGTTTTTCAGTCACGTATGATCTAATAACTGAGCGTGTGGCTGCCCAAAGCGGTTGTCTACAATATAACAATTGGCGCCAGAAATATATCTACCTATCTTCAAGCAGTAGGTCATCAATAAACTGTTAAAAAATTTCCTTTTTGCTACTTCATTAACATGTCAACTGCAATACAATCCTGTTGGTCACACTGACCAGGGTTGTGTAAACAGGGAACCTAGTATTAGATGAGGGGGGGGGGATAATGAGACAATTGTGTGTTCATAGTGACCAACATCAAACACGTTAATAGTGATGCGATATGTGTCTGATGTTGGCCGAAAAGCGTGTTCCATAATCGGATTATCGATAGAGGACCACAGTGTGGGCGTTAGTATGAGGTTTTTCTATTTAGTAAATCTTGATACAGCGATATATACACACTGAAGTTGGATATCCATACGGGGAAAAGGAGTGGGGCTGATAATCCACTGGGTTGTGAATCGCACTGTGCCACCTCACAGACCGGAGAGCCGACAAAAGTCCTAGAAGCAGACGTAGGGAAGGATTAGCATAGAACATAGAACTCAATTACTATGAGCAGATCAAACGCCTCACTGTTCGCATGTATGCGTTAATTCCTTACGGAACAGTTCCGACCGAATCGAAACCGACAGAAGGCCAGATAAGAGCATAATTCGTTGACGCATAGGAAATGTTTGAAAAAAACATCTCCAGGTAAAAACTTCTCATGTATAGATTGAAGGTGGAAACAGCAGTGTTAGGTTTTCTAACTTTTATGCACGCGTTCCCAATGCTCAGTATACGGTCAAACGTGATCACACCATCAAGTCTACCTACTGAATTAGTCTCTAGTGACCGAGTGGTTTATTGAAACAGGGCACAAGAAAGAATAGAATTTGCCCAATAAGAAGACCAAACCCCGGGGAGACATGCTACAAGGTGTGGTGGTGACAATCCGGCACATGTTGAGTGTCATGTCTTTTGCTACACTTATATCTCTGTTTTAAACCACGTTAATTATTAATAATAAATAAAAGCATGCTGTCAAACGCGATTACGTTTTTCACACGGCAAATCATAAACTATTCCCATAAGGGCAGAAATTGGTAACACTATCTTATTCAAGGGTACCATTCCAAATACCTTTTTAACGAGTCGAATATATTGTTACGGACAGATTCACTCTATGTGGTGATCGGACGGACAAGAAAAACCAGCCAATGTATATTTTTAGGGCATTCTAACTGATTCTAACTGGCCGCCCTTCCAAGCACAGTTCTCAGTTCATGTAATGCAGGTATTGATAGAACCAATCAACGGTAAACTGTGCCCCCCTTGGTTCGTTGCGGTTGAGTGGAAAGAAAGGGGAAATATGAACAATGGGTCAGTCGCTGTGCCCTAAAATGACAATAGATAAACTCTAGTTTACTGTGCTTCCCGAATGCATACAGAGTAGCAAGAATAAAAGCATGGGTTCAAAGTTGAGATCTGAAGGACGTGCAGTCAAAGTCCGTATCATTACCTTGCGACAGCACTCTGCGGGTTAAAATTGACATCCTTGCAAGTAATTTACACAATTACAAGCTATGGTCACTGGGTAGTGTTTTCAAAAGGAACTGGATAATGCTATCCTTGAAGTCAGACTGATGATATTGTCCAGCCCGGCCATGAACCATCCGCAAACAACATTTTCAGAACGCAGAACTTTCTATGACTAACATCTCAATCCCGAGCGACAATCACCCAACGCTATATTATTATTTTCTTATTTGTATACGGAAAATCCATTTTTGCTAACCAGCAAGAAGGTAGAGGTTGTTCACCTTTAATTCGATTATTAGGTCACCAGAAAACACAGAACAATAAAACATTACATCACTAATGACAACTGCGGTTTACCAATCTAAAGTTGCATGTCCCTCCCCTCTTTTAATTTGTCATCATGTGTTGTTCATTCTCGCATGCGCTTTCTGTACGGGATTTTGAACACAAACAGAGCCTGATCCGTACTATGCATAGCATCGGATACTGTTTCAAGGGTGGATCCTTTCATCAGCAATGTATTTGAAAGCAATTGCATATATATGCGGTGGAAATGTTTGTGTTAACCGACAAAGAGCACTGGATAGCTTTTTCGTCCTTTTTGGGGACTCATCAGTAGTGCTTACTTTTTGTGTCCCTGTCCGGACCCGAACCGCAAACTTTCGGGTTGGAACTTTGAAACCCTTTCCCCTGAGCNTGCGAATGGCTCAATCAGGTTTTGGAGTAGAAAGCTTGGATTGGCCCATTCGATTGTTCAGAGGCACCAGGCACTCTTGATGGTCTTCGGTGTGGGTTTCACTTCTTAGGAGATCGTTAATTCCCGAGAAGTTCATACATTTATATGCGATGGAAATGTTTGCGATAACTGCATATATCTAGTATATGAATAGACTTGTAAAGATCCACTTATCCACGTACACACGCGCGCACACATAGGAACTATTTGAATCATCTGCACATTGTGCGTAAAAAATGTTTTACATCTAAAACTAATTTCTTTTCTCCTTGTATATGAGAATTATTTTCGAGGCAAACTTTACCGACCTACCGACTGGTATTCTCACTGGACGTAACTTCATTTATTACTATCGAAGACAAATAATATCGCCATGTATGCGAATCAAGTTCAGTACTCCGGTTAAAACGGGCCGCCATATTTTGTTACCTTGGGTTTCCACCTAAGATAGTTATTTACTATCTTAGTTGTGTGCAAAAACCCAGAACACAGTGAACTAAATAAAATCTAATCATAACCGCGTGCAAAATGAATGTCCTGTAGTTACTATAACCCATCTATACTTCAAGTGAACCCGTCATAACTCCAAGTCAATCGTATTCTAGCGGCAGCCTCACGAAGCGATTGGTGCTCCAGCCATCATGCCACTGATTGGGCCGGGTCTAATAAATCCCCTTCCAGTCTGAATGAACTGAATTTTCCATAGACAAAATTACTTTTGTGTGAGCTACGGGGTAAGGTTGAAATTTTCGGTGCGGTGTGGGGTGACTGTTCGTCACCCCCCCCCTTTTCCCCCGCCCCGCCCCGCCCCGCCCCACCCACGAACGGGTAAAGANGGGTAAAGAAGTGAACTACGTCAAGGTGGGTCGTAAATCGATCGCCATGCTCGGACGTGGATGTTGGGATGAACCATTTAATAAGGGAGTTCAGTCTAGAGGCTCTTAATAGCCCACTAGTTAAATTAGGGTGGGCAAAGGTTCCCTTGAATAACTCCGATTCCTTGAAATTAAATGCAGTCGCTCACATATTAATGGTAATGAAGGGCAAACCTGAAAAGATGCTCAACGATGGTACAACAATACAGTGAAAGAACTAATAGTATTTCACATGAATATCAGGATCACCTTTGAACTCATTCATTAGCTAACATAAAATACATCGAACCAGCCTTTTCCCGATATCAACTCGAAGAAACGTCCAGAAATTAAATCTTTTCTTGTGATTCTCGAATGGACTGATGCATTCTACTCACAATGCCGCAATGGCAACAACCTGTCACACATAGCTTCTCCCTATGCTACTTAACTTCGTCGTATAGGTCAGTATCTTTGCTATACCATTTATCACCACAGCCAGTGACGATTGATGTACCGTAGCAGTCTACTTAGTTTGAAGGGTGAAAACTGTTTAAATTCCCCTAGATGTGTTGTCGAGATAACGCGTGAAAG